GTGGGGCGTCTGGGTGGCTCAGTGGGTTAAGCCGCTGCCTTCGGCTCAGGTCATGATCTCAGGGTCCTGGGATCGAGTCCCGCATCGGGCTCTCTGCTCAGCAGGGCGCCTGCTTCCCTCTCTCTCTCTCTCTCTGCCTGCCTCTCCGTCTACTTGTGATCTCTCTGTCAAATAAATAAATGGAATCTTTAAAAAAAAATAATAAAAAATAAAAAAATAAAATAAAATATCACAATGAGAAGTATGATAAAGTTTTAAATCTGTAGGTCAATACAGTCATAAATATTTTTTTATAGTCAAATATTTTAATTCTGGTTGTCCTTCAAAATGCTGCTGTAGAAAGAATTTGGTTATAAAAATTTGTTTAACAACCATTAGTGGTTCCTAGCCCTTTAAGGGATCACAGACTCCCTTGAGAATCTGGTGTTCACTTAAAAATATACATATATTCAAAAGTCTGCATGAGATTTTAAGGCTTCCTGCTCCACCTCCCAAGCCTGTTCACATGGATGAAGAACCTCTGTAATAGGAGACAACTAGGGAAATTACCAACGTAGAAAAAAAGTTCAAATTTAGGAAGGATTCCCAATAACTAGTATTTTACTGGTTCACGATTTGCTCTTGTAGCTAAAATCTGGTAGTGGTGGTAGAAGATTCGAAAAGGAACTGAGAGAAGTGAAAAAACATAAGAGTAATTTTCATACGAAATTAAAGAATAACTTGGGTCATCTTTCAATGAGGACATTTCTACCTTTTTTTTTTTTTTTTTTAAGAGAGAAAGGAAGAGGGGAGAGGGAAGAGGGGAGGAGGGAGTGAAGGAGAGAGGGAAAGGAGAGGAGGACAAATTTGAGGGAGACAAGAACAAACTCAGAGAAAGAAAACACATCCATTTACTCAATCTTTCTTGGTCAAGAGCATTCATGAAGGAAGAGTGAGGCTGTAGACTACAGCAGAAAATGGATGGACTCCAAGTACACATTTGGTCCACTACAGACAGAAGAGACACTCTCTGACCTTTAGGTTCAAACATGCCAAACACTCCTACTTGGCAAACTATTAGTCAATGTTTTACTTCAAGATTGCATTATTGCAGCAACTGATCACAACATGCAGGGCAGGCAATCCTGGCCTACCAGCCACTTGTGAATCTGTCCCCATTTCCGATCAAAGGAATAATGAGAGTGCTACAAATGCAAAAGTTTCATCAGCTGAAGTTTCCAACATACTGCATGTCTGAAAAGTCTTAGATTAATCCTATAAATTTGCCCTGAAGACCAGTGATCTTTAGCTTAATGTAAGTTGCACATTCAAGAGACAGAAAATTACTAAGCTAAATATGTTCCACAATGAAGAAATATATGGCTCTCTGCAGTTTAGAGGAAATGGAACTTTTACTTAGCAACAATCTCCTTATAATTTCAGGAGTGTAAGAACTGCATTCAGTATTTGAAACCATATATGATGTCAAAAACAAAAATAGCAACATAGGTATAAACTGTTTTTTTGTTTAGTTTTTGAGCTGTGAATAAAATCTATATACACTTCTCTTTAACCCATTAGCAGAAGTCCACCACCAACATGAAAATAGTGTTTAATACTATTAATAATATCCTGCAGGCTCTCCCCCCTTCATGCCAATATGGCATCAGAAATATTTTTTTAATGTGAATTTTCGGAGTCAGGTTGATGTCAGAAGGAAAGAATTAAAAAAGATTATTTGTTTCATTTTAAAGCAGCCCAATTTCTATACACCTGTTTTATTTTTTACTCTTCTTTCTGACGATAAAAGTGTACTGAAATTTATGAACTACAGAAAAGCATTAAGAAAGAAACAAAACTAATTAATTCCACCACTGACAAACCAAAACATTGACAGTAATCATTTCTTTCTAAGTAGTTTTGACCCCTATATATGATACTAGTTTTTGTAACATACAATGGGAGTCCTACCAGTCTTAAAACTGTTGAGGGTTTTTTTTAAATTTTCTTGCATGAATGTCTTCTTCCATTATTAAATATACTTAAAAACTATAAGGCTAAATGACTTCACAGTGTTTTACTATGTAGATATCATAATATAATTAACCTAAACTCTAAGACAGTTAGGACTATAGTAAATAAATTCATCATCTCTAAGCTGACTTTAGCTAATACAAGTAAAGCACTTATCACACCATAACAACTTGCTACCATGTATAGTAAGAGCTGTTTATGTGTTTGCACTATTGCACTTAATTTGCTGACATAGAATGGCTTATTAAAAAATACACATTAGGTTATACTATTCCCAGTTTTTCAAGAGGAACCAGATTTATTTCAGAAGGAAACTAGCCAACTATTTATTTGAGACTAACACAAAATTAGGATCATACCCCACCCCCACACCCCCTGATTACCTCTTTTTGTTGTCGCTCCAGTTCTCTCATGCGTATATCTCTCGCTTCTGCCCGGGCAGCCCGTTTTGCTGCCAGTCTCGCCTCTGCCTGAAATGTAATGTAAAGATTCAGTTTTATTTACGAACAACAACAACCTGCACACCAGCTGCGAGGGTAAGGAGCAGATGGGACATAACTGTCCATAGCAGGTGGGAGGACAAGATACCCTCTTGCTCAGCTGTGCAACTGCCTCAGTCAGCTCTTGTATACTCCTTTCCTTGTTCTAGCCCAGAGTCTCTCCTGAAATCTGGGCCTTTATTTTTAACTGCTTGCTTTGATTCCACATGCAAAACATTTCACACAACTCATTATGTCTCTGCAAACTCGCTTCTTCCAAAATTTCTTTCTCTATCAATTCAATCATACAAATTAGAAACTTCAGAACCAGCCTCTATTTCATTTTGGACATTGCCAATATCCAGTCTCAGAGTACTGCCAATTCTCTACTGCTGGGTTTCTCTCACCCCCATGGCCATTATGCTGTTTCTGTTCCAGGAACTCTTCATATCTTTCTCCTTCTAAACTGGTATGCAAATCACATACTACCAAATTCACCACTTACAACTAGACAGTTTGGTGGTTTTCAGCACTATGCTCACAAGGTTACACAACTACCACTACCACCTAATTCCAGGATATGTTCTTCACCCCAAAAAGAAAGCCCATGCCCATTAATAGGCACTTCTCATTCCCCTTCCTCCCACCTCCTGGAAACCACTAATCCTACTTTCTGTCTCTACAAATTTGCCCATTCTGGAAATTTCATATCAGTGAAATTATACAATAGGCGCTCTTCATCTCTTGCTTGATTGAACACTACTTAAACTGCCTTCAAATCCATCTACCTGCCTCCAGAAGCTGCCCTATAATTCCTTTCTACATGTTACAGGATTGCCATTCTGCCTTTCAAAACATGTTTCTGATTTTTACCATTAAGTAGTGTAAAACCCTCCACTGGCTCCCATTACTTGCAGTTAAAGCAAAATTCCACAGACTAGCACAAAGAGAAGAGAGAAGAAAAGCTCAAACAGAAATAAGGTTCCTCCCAGTCAGATCTCCCCCTGATTTCCCAGGACTCGGTCCACATAAACAGCTGCAGACCACCTACCTCCATCCAGGACTTCACTGTGCTCCGTTCAGCCTCTCTTCAACTCAGGTAATGATCTCAGGGTCATGAGATGGAGCCCGGCATCAGGGTCCACACTCAGCAGAGTATGCTTAAGATTCTCTCTTTCCCTCTCGCTCTGCCCCTCCCTGTGCCCACTAGAGTGCTCACTCTCTCTCTCAAAAAAATATTAAAAATACAAAACAAAATTACACTCTTCTGTCACCTCCACAACGTCCAAGTCTCAATCGATGTCTGCTAAATAAACAAACGAATTTTAGGCCATGGACTAAAGCATCGAGGAAATGAAACAAGGAAACAGCCTGATGTACCACATGAAATTTAAAAATCTCAGTGATTTCTGACAGTGGTTTCCTCTGTTCTCGGCCACATCCTAACTCTGATCCAGATCTCCCCTAAGAACTACAATAGCTGCTTCTCCCATGGTGTTCTATTTATGCCCAAGTCTCAGGTTAAGAGACTCAGTCAGTGTTTGAAAGGGTCTACTGCGCAGAAGCAATTATGTTCGGTGCTGAAAATACAGAGTAAGATGACATCTCTGCCCCAGAGAAGTCCTCAATCTAGTTGAGAGATATGGACCCACAACACTAAGGGAAGGAGCATGCAGAAGAGAGCAATTTGACTTCCCTGGCAAGGTCCTAGCAGGTTTCTAAGAAGAGGAGACAGCTTAAGGGTTAACACTTATTCAACCACCCCAATTTTGGCACTTTCCCTGTCTGCCTAGCTGGCCTTTTCATAACAAAAGCCCTAAACACCTATCTGCCAACCTCAAACTCTAAGCAATAACATGACCAGAGCAATGAATCTTCTCACATGAATTTTTCACTGGCTTTTATCTTTTAAAAAGCTGTTCCTACCATCTTTACCCCTCTGACTACAGGTAGACAATGCTTTCTTACTAGAGTTCCCATTTTATAGAAAAATACTTCAAGGCTAAGTTCAGCAGATAGCAAAGACATTTTTAAATTACAAAGTATCATTTTTCTGGGGAAAATTTTTGAACTTTTTTTTTAATTTCAGCAAAGCCATAGCAATGTGTAGGGCTGTCATTTCCATGTTACTAGCTTTGTACTTGTAGCCTTCTTTAGAAATGTACCGAGAATGCCCATTTCATCCTTCCAAGATAGATGACCAACTCTGTACATTCTATGCTAAAACAGCTCACTAGTTTTCTCTCACCTAACCAAAATGATGATAATTGAAATCTACTCTCTGATAAGATTTCTTTCACAACAAAAGGAAAGGGAACCTGGCTGCTGTGTAACAGAAAGAACATGGGCTTCGGAGCCACAAAAATGCCCTTCCCTTTGTTCCTTAGCCAACTTTATCCAAACTCAGATATGCCTTCCTTGGAGATGGTACTGAAGACGGCCACTAAACAAGCTTTAAAAAGGTAAACAGGATTTAAAAGTACTTAATCTTAGTATTTTTTCCACATGTTGCCAGATATCTGAAGCAGTACTGAGAGTAGGAGAGCGAAAAGCAAAAAGTGATTCCAATCCAGCAGACAAAACATGTACTCTATACTTGTACCAATGCATTTTTTTAAAGATTTTCATTTCTTTGACAGAGAGAGACACAGCGAGAGAGGGAACACAAGCAGGGAGAGTGGGAGAGGGAGAAGCAGGCTTCCCTACCCAGCAGGGAGCCCAATGTGGGGCTCGATCCCAGAGCCCTGGGATCATGACCTGAGCCAAAGGCAGACGTTTGACGCCTGAACCACCCAGGCACCCCTATCAATGCATTTTTTTTAAACATTTTTTTTAATATTTTATTTATTTATTCGACAGAGAGAGATCACAAGTAGGCAGAGAGGCAGGTAGAGAGAGAGAGAGAGGAGGGGAAGCAGGCTTCCTGCTGAGCAGAGAGCCCGATGCGGGGCTCGATCCCAGGACCCTGTATCATGACCTGAGCCGAAGGCAGAGGCTTAACCCACTGAGCCACCCAGGCGCCCCATCAATGCATTTTAAAATAAATAATAGATACACAAAGTATACTTCTAGGTAGTAATACTAGCATTTTCCCCAGACACAACTGCATGATTTCTACATATTCATTTTATACACACTCACAGATAAAAAATAAATGGTACAGAAGAATAAAGGATCGCAAAAAATTAAGTTTAAAACAAAGTTGGCAAAAAAAAAAAAAGTTAAACATAGAATCACCATTTTATCTGATAAGTCCATTTCTGGGTATATACACAAAAGAACTGAAAGTAGAGACTCAAACAGGTATGTGTATGCCAATGTTCAAAGCAGCCTTATCCATAATGGCCAAAAAGTACAAACAACCCAATGTCCATCAATGGATGAATAGATAAACAAACTGTGTTATATCTATACAGTGGAATATAGTTCCAGGAGGGAAGGAAATTCTGACACATGTTAAAACATGGATGAATCTTGAAGACATTATGTTATGCGAAACAAGTCAAATGTGAAAGCACAAATATTATATGATTCTACGTATTTGAGGCACCTAGAATAATCAAATGGCATGGGCACAGGAGGTTGAACAGTGCTTCCAAGGGGCTGGAGGGAAGGAGAAATGGGGAATTTTCATCTAATGGGTACACAGTTTCAGATAGGATGATGATATAGTTCTGAAGATGGAGAATAGTGCCGGTGGCACAACAATGTAAATATACTCAATGCCACTGAATTGTATGCTTAAAGATGATTTAAATGGTAAATTATGTTTTTAAGATTTTATTTATTTATTTGACAGACAGATATCACAAGCAGGCAGAGAAGCAGGCGGTGGGGTGGGGCGGGGGGAAGCAGGCTCCCTGCCGAGGAGAGAGCCTGATGTGGGACTCAATCCCAAGACCCTGAGACCATGACCTGAGCCTATGGCAGAGGCTGAGCCACTCAGGCGCCCCTAAAACGGTAAATTATGCTATGTATTTTCCCATACAAAAAAAGTTAAAGCTCGTATAAGGCATGAAATCAGAATTATTCAGGAGCCTAATTCATTTAGGTACTTGTAGAGTCTTTAAGCTGATATAACTCAAACTTTTGAAATAAAGTTAATAGGAAAATTTAGGAACTGGAAATTCAGTTTCAGAAGTTACCTGTGAAATCAAGTAGGTCAATGGACTCGTTTCTAAAAATTTTTTCTCATCATTATGCTTTCAAATATTAGGCATATTAAGACTGATTAAAGGAAATATGCAATCATATAAGTATAGAAATGCATTCTTAGAACAGTGAAAACGATAACACAAAAAGTAAAGATATATTTGAATAGAATTAAATCCATTTCCATTAAATCCTTGGGGCAAATGGAAAAATAAAATAATAGCAAAAATCATGGGACTTGATCACCCCTGGAACAAACTGCTTTAGGTTGTATTAATTCAGAAAACTAAATTTGTAGGCTGTTTGTTTTATAACTAATAATTAGCAATCGTACAATGATCAATAAAAAAACAACTTCTAAGGGCACCTTGGTGGCCAGTTGGTTGGGCATTGGATTCTTAGTTTCAGCTCAGGTCATGATCTCAGGGTCCTGGGATTAAGCCCCCACATCGGGCTCCCCACTCAGAGTGTAGTCTGCTTGAAGATTCTGTCCCTCTATCCCTCCCTCCACTTGCATGTTCACCTGTGCACACATACTCTCTCTCTCCCTCTCACTCTCAAATAAATAAATATTAAAATAAAAAATAGAAAAGAAAAGAAAAAGAACTTCGAAGGGAGGGCTGGGTGGCTCAGTTGGTTATGCATACAACTCTAGATTTTTGGCTAAGGTCACCATCTCAGGGTCATGAGATTGAGCCCCGAAACCAGCTTCACACTGAGCTTGGAGCCTGCTTTAGATTTCCTCTTCCTCTCCCTCTGCACCTCCCCTCCTCATGCTTGCACTCTCTATCGCTCTCTCAAATAAAAAAAAATTTTTAAATTCTCTAGGAAGAACTTCT